TACACAAGAAGCTCCTTTCTGTTATTTTATTCCATCGCAATATAACAATAGTTATCTATTGGTTATCAAAATGTAGGTAAAGTTTAAAATTGTAAAACGACATTTGAAAATTATCCCGAATGTGTTTCTTTTAAACGAAATATCGAAATTAATTTTTAAGGAGAAATAACAACTATTTCTAACCTTGAAGATGAAGTATGAAAGGATGAATTGTGAAGAGTAATGATAAATGGAAAAATGAAAGTGTCCAGGGATGGGAATCAAACCCACAGTGTTCCGCTTACCAGGCAGATGCCATGTCCACTAGGCTACCCTGGACATATTTTTTTCCGTTCGTAAATATTATATAAAGTAATTTATAATACAATATAATGCGGATTATGATTGTAAAACGACATTTGAAATTTATCCCTCATGTGTTTCTTTTAAAAATCGAAATGTATTTTTAAGGAGAAATAACGATTATTTCTAACCTTAGAGATGAAGTATGAAAGTATGAATTGTGAAGGGTAATGATATCTTAAATCCACTACATGTTTATATATGTACCAAACTATATATATCTTCCTTTAATTGTTCATAAGAACGATGGAACTGTGCATCATTCCAGTAAAAAAACTTTACTAATGATGATAATGAATGAGCCACAACACCAGTTTAGGAAAATTAAAAAAGAATAAAAAATTCCAAACTGTATATTAACTTGTATTTACTTGTTTATCACCTGTATATTCTGTATATTAAAGGGAGGGGTGTTTATTTTGATACAGGAATATCATTCTCTCTCATCCTGAAGTTTGTCTTTCTTAATTTACTACATTACAAGGAGGGGTCGGTGGAAGGATGGTCTAAACTGTTGTTTTTCAACCGCTACAACCAGGGTCCGATTCCCGTATTAGGCACTTTTTTTCTGATTAAAAAAAAATGCTCCAATGGCTCCCGATTCTTGCAAAAGTCCAACTCCACCAGCGAGTGCAAGTAACCAAACGAGGCTCTGGCACATTTGTAAGTGCAAAGTCAAACTGCTTTTCATATGTGTAGACATGTGGTGCTTTTACAGTAAAAGCAGTCGCCTACTTCTACCTACCATGATTATCATCATGGCCTGCACCACATGTACTAGGGATAAACAAAACACTACATAACAATATTAAGAATCCAGAAAAATCTAGAAAAAACTGGATACACATTATCCAAAAATCTGCTAGGTTAGATTCTCAATTGGATGAAGACTATAAGGATCGGCCATTTAATATTATATAAAGCGATATAGATGGAAATTTTGCCGGAAAAGTGACCTGTCTATAGCACCCCCTCTCTATAGCACTCTATTTTGGTGAGTCCCAAGAGGTGGCGCTATAGACAGGTTTAACTGTAGTCATTTCCCTGAAGAGAGTGACAGGAATTCAATGAAACCTCGGTAGTTAAACTATTGGTTAATGTGGCTAAGATTTTTCTCTGAATGTCATGTTAATTATATATATATATCTTCAATGTACATAGTGTAAACAGCTATATTATTGTTTGAAAGTTATATTATTCTCTATTATATTTACAAGTAAGGACAGTAGAAGTTTGGTTTATGTGTAAAAAGAAACATTCGCGTATTATAATTTTTTCATTTGTTACATATAAACTAGCCGAATAACCCGGGCAACGCCCGGGGTTTACCAGATTAAATGCTTTTATTCAAATACTATTCGTTACAATTATAAATTGGCGCCGTGGATGTCATTCTATAATATATAAATGAGTTTTAAAAATTGTAAAAAAAAAAAAAAATGCATCGGTCGGGAATCGAACCCGGGCCGCCCGCGTGGCAGGCGAGCATTCTACCACGAACCACCGATGGTTATGAGAAATGGCCATATTTGGGTATTTATTCCATTCACAAAAACAAACGGTGACAGAATTGATTAAGAAAGAATTGATTATGACGCTGATAACTGTATATATTAATGGCGCATTATTGCTTTGTAATATAAAGCTATATAAAAAAAGATTAAAAACAACTCTTATAGATGCGTATGATTCTTTTTAAAAATAAACAATTTCTACTGCCCTTACTGCAATGGAAAAATTAATCGGAGGGTCTGACTCTTAATAGTTTCGAATCTTGATAACAGATGGCGCGCTAATGCATCATAAAACAAACTCTGGAATGACCATATAACAATGATATCATAAAATCGTTATAAATCGATGTCAACAAACGATATTTTTTATCTTTGTGAATCTATCTGTATTGAACACTCAAACGAGTTTTTTCATCTTAAAGATAGAAAAAATATTTTTTTCAATTTATTGTTTCTAACTTAAGTTTTGGTATTGGTTTTCTTTTAACCACAACGATCGAAATTTTTCCAATACAAAAATGTTTCTCTTCTCTAAAGGTTTCAGTTTTACTTTATTTGATCTATTTTGACATATATAACGGGTAACTAGGAAATCTTATGGTGACCTATATGGAATAAAGTTGTCACAACACTAATTTCTCTCTGTTTTAAACTGTAGCGTCTCCCAAATATTTACTTTTCATATCTTCATTATAAGCTTTAATTTGTTTAATAACTATTTAATTCAAATATTGAATTATCCATCTTATCTACTTATATAATTGCCTTATTCTGTCTGTGTGAAGTTCACTGTGTGAAGTTCACGGATAGATTTTGGTCAGAATGGATAAAATAAAAAAAGTGTCAAGGGATGGGAATCGAACCCACGTCCTTCCGCTTACCGTGCAGATGCCATGACGACTAGGCCACATGACCACAATTTATAATTGTAACAAATAGTATTTGAATCAAAACATTCAATCGGGTAAAACACGGGCGTTGCCCGGGTCATTCGGCTAGTAAATATATAATCTCATATAAAATATATATATACTTTATTAAAATTATATAAATTGACATTAATATCACATTATTTGTTGTCATAATAATATAATATAATAATTATACATCATTCTCTAAATATAAATCCTAAATCATATAAAATGTAAATATTTATTTATAATATATCAAACATATGTATCAAACATTTTATAATATAGAAATGATATTTGACCACTACACACACAAAAAGAACATCAACATGTAGTATACAACAATACTTGTGATAATTTGTATTAAATAAATGTAATTAAAAGTTGATTTTACTATAAATAATTTGTTGTCTGACTCCGCTTAGAATTTCATGCCGCCCACAAAACCATTGTGTTTGTGCATAGTTACCATTTCTGATAGATAGTGGACATTGCTGCTGTGATAGAGATGCATGGAGACATTTGAGGCTCTTTATTGGACACGACAACAACAGAAAATTGACATGGACCCAGAACAGCAGCTTTACACACCCAAGATAGAGGACATTGCTGCTGCTGTGATAGAGATGTATGGAGACATCTGAAGCTATTTTTTGGACACGACAACAACCGAAAATTGACATAGACCCAGAGCAGCAGCTTTACACACCCAAGATAGAGGACATTGCTGCTGCTGTGATAGAGATGTATGGAGACATCTGAGGCTCTTCATTGGACACGACAACAACAGAAAATTGATATGGACCCAGAGCAGCAGCTTTACACACCCAAGATAGTGGACATCTGAGGCTCTTCATTGGACACGACAACAAAAATATAGCATGGACCCAGAGCAGCTGCTTTACACACCCAATATAGAGGACATTACAACTGCTGTGATAGAGATGTATGGAGACATCTGAGGCTCTTCATTGGACACGGCAACAACAACCTTTTCTGATCCAAAAAATGGGTGATAGATATAATAATCACAGTCAACTTGGGCATTTACAATCCAAGTACATAGGAACTGGACAATGCGGATACAACAAAGTTTGAGTGCTCGGCGGTATATTCTAATTAAACATTTTTATTTCCAATAATGACGAAACTTAGTTTTTAGAAAGAGGAACTCCTTCACTGACCTTTCGAGCAGTCGTCTCTGGTCCAGTGGTCGAAGCAGACATAGCGCTCTGTATCCAGATCGAAGACCCCGTGGCTGGAGAAGTCAGGGAAGTAGCGGTTGAGATGGTCGTCTGGTTTAGTGAATGTCAAACCAGCATCATGATAGCTATACTTCGTACATATGACATTTAGGCATCATGCAACACACTATGCACTAGTTGGAAATGAATCAATGGCACGTTTAAGATTTAATTTAATGGAGAAAATGCAGTGTCCACCGTGTGGACCCCCCTCTCTCTCTGATATTTCCACGTGGAAAATTAGGGAAGACAAACTTCAGGATGAGACAGCAATTTATTCAAGGCAAGAACAAACTACGAATGATAAACAAAAGATAAGGAATGAGAGAAGTTTACAGAGTAACAAAATATAAACATAAAAAATGATACTCTGTTAATACGAGTGTAGAATAATAATAAATGTTTGTAAAATAAAGAGTAATTCGTTACAATATTGTAGCAAAGTATTTATTATTATTTTTAGCAGAGTATCATTTTGTATGTTTATATTTTGTTAATCTGTAAACTTCCCTCATTCCTTATCTTTTGTTTATCATTCATAGTTTGTTCTTGCCTTGAATAAATTGCTGTGTCATCCTGAAATTTTTGTCTTATAGATATATAGAACTAAGGTGTAATATTCAATTCAAACATATGGAACCAACATCGATTCATTTTTAAAACAAAACAAAATCATAAGCGTATACAACTTTATTAGCATTTTTATAAGTTGTTTTTCATAGATTAATATATTTATATTTTTGACCAGATGACCGGCCTACTTTGCATGTATATATTTGGTTTTGAAATGATGTAAGTTAGTTAAGAAATTAAAAAAGTATTAATTTCTTTGAGGTGTTGGTGATTACTCTGCTCGATGATAGAGAATAGGGAAGTCTAACTCCCAACAAACTTTCACTTTTTCATAAAACTTGTTTATAACGAGGCCACTTAGAAATCCTATTCCTCCAGTGTATCATAGGTCACTCAGTGTCAGACTTCAGGTTGAAGGAAACTGTCCTGTTTATAACGCGTTCCAACTCCCAGCTTATGAAACTATTTAGTAAATTGAAGAATCAAACCACGAATGTTTCTAATATATATTATTGTACCAAGTTGCAGCTTTGCAGGGTCATCGACCTTGGGTTTCTCCTTCTTGGTGTTATACACCGAGCGGGTTTCCATACTTAAAGTAAATAAAGAAAAGTAAATAAATTACCTTTTAAAGTTATTGTGTTTATTTATTCTTCCTCGTAGGTCGTGATCCGCAGTCTTGGTCCTCTCTCACTCCAATAACCAATCAAGATATATATACAATAACAATATTACAAAAGGAATGAAACTATAAAAAGGAATGATGATAATCTAAATAATCTGTTTTAAATAAATATTGAATATCATAGAATATTTTGAATAAATGTAGGGCGCATTGATGCAACAATATAAAACAAAACCTTCCACTGATCTTACTGCTATGAAACATTTTGGAATTGCTTTGTTTATCAGTGGTGAACCCTCCCAGCGGTTTCGCCAATTTAATCCACCAGACCACTATTTAGAGCTCTAATACTGTATTGGATCATTCTGCTTATATATGCTACACTGAAGGGTGGAATCTTAGAGATGGTATTCAAGCAAACTATGAACATAAGCTTTTAGGACAGTAGAATTACATATAATATAACTGAAAACAAAGAAGGCATACCCTGACCAAAAGCACATGTTCTTTTTAGATGGCAGAGCGCCATCTGATGGAACAAAAATCAACTAAACATTGATTTAGCCTGTTCCCTGATATTTAGCCAACCCAATTTCCTGATAAACCAAGAAAAGACATACACGAACACGTTTCGCGCTGTTGGCACTCGTCAGCGTGGAGCAGGCTGTATCACTGCCATTCAAAATATTTTTAATCCCAGAGGATTCCTGAAAAACCAAGATATAGGTATTTAAGGCCAAATTTGCGTAAATACGCTTAACACATTTTTTTTTTCATGTGTGTAAATGAAATAGAAAAAAAAAATAAATAAAAGGGTCAGGTGTTGATATTAAAAATAATGAAAGCATATCCTGACCAGGAGACCTGTTCCACCAGATGGCGCTCTGCCATCTAAAAAGCACATGTGCTCCTGGTCAGGATATGCTTTTATTATTTTTAATATCAACAACACCTGACCCTTATATTATTATTTTTTCTATCGTTTTTTCATATAATATTATTGTTGAAAGAGACCAAAGGTAAACGTGCTTCTTTTACCATTTGAATATTGAAATTTGAATGATAATGGTTTATTTTCTAACATACTAGATGGGTGACCCGGGCTTCGCCCCGGGATTGACCCGTGTGCATATCTACCCGAGTGATATATATTTAGATAAGATTTTTTTTATGATTGTTTGTTATTAGCATTATCTATTTGTTTGCATCAGCATAATTTAATCTAATCTTTGATAGAGGGCTCTGTTCGTGAGCTAAGTAGAATAATTTGAATATATAGTTTTAATGATTGATTTATACATTTTTTAAAATAGCCTATCGTCTTCCCCGTATTTTTTTACCTATGTATGGAAATTTTGGTTTGAATTAGTGAACTACTGCGAATTTGTATACCGGACATACAAACAAACAAACATACAAACATTGATTTTTATATATATAGATATTCTATTTATGCAAATATTTACATGTATATACATATCTTCTGTAGTTTCTTGTATTCGTGTAACAGCCTGTTGAAGGACGTCATAGTCTGAAAGCTCGCAGACTTTTAAATAAAGAAACAGGTCACGTCTACCTTGGTCTCTTCCAACAATGATATCCTGCGAAATTCCTTTTTTTTTCGCTTATCCCAAGTACACATGGTACAGGCCATCATAATCATGGTGAAGAAGTAAGCGACTGCTTTTACTGTAAGTACACCACATATCTACACATGTGAAAAGCAGTTCGACTTTGCACTTACAAATGTGCCAGAGCTCCGTTTGATTACTTGAAATCGCTGGTGGGGTTGATATTTTGCAAGAATCGGGGGTCATTGGAGCATTTCTTTTTAAACATAAAAAGGTGCCCAATGCGGTAATCGAACCCGGGTCGTAGCAGTCGAAAACCAACGGTTTAGACCATCCTTCCACCGACCCCATGCTGAATGATTCCTTCTTTTATAATATAACCCTATTCCTCCTATTGTGTCCTATATCACCCGGTACCAATCGATATCATCCGGTACCGCACTCATATTTACGTGAAAATATTTTCGAGCGCTTTCTCTGTTTAGAATGAACAATTGAATAAGTGACTTTTTGTATGTCGAAATTTTTACTGCTTTTGAAGCTTGCTTACGGTATAACAAATTTGTAGCCCATGTTTCTGCCTATTATTTGTTAAAAAAAACCATTTTCATTGTTTTTAAAAGCTAGTTTTAACAATTATTTCATAATTTTCTTCTATAATTAAAATACGATTTCTGAAGCAATTACTTACCCTCTATTATTAATTTGTTTTTTTTTCTTAGTCGTCTGTTTTGCACAAGTTGAATCTGGTTAGAAAATGTATGTAAATTAGATGATTCTTTTGTTGCCTTAAATACGAGGTAATCATTTCTCTCCATATCTAAAATGTTTAAAGTTTAATAAATTGATTTTATAAATCTGAGAGTTGTCTTAAAAACGATCTAATAATTTCACATATGTAAACCTAAGAAAGATGAAACCTATTTCTAATCATATTCAAAGTATTTCAAAATAATAAAATCTAAGAAAAAGGTATAAAGAGACAAAATTC